GAGCAACTCGATGCAGTGGGTTTATAACAACTCCAGGCTCCTGTGGTTGGTGGGAGTGGTTGGCTCTTGACTGGAACGTTGGCTGTTTGGACCCACGGAGCAGTGCACAGTTGTGGTGATTTGTTTCAATAAATGCAACAGCCAGAAAGACTCCGTGGAGCAGTTCTTCTTGGTACTACTTGAGGACGCTTTTTGTTGAGTGCTGTTCAGAACTGACTCATAGCTACCTCTCTAGTGGCTTTTTCAGAGGCAGTAAATCATAGAGGAGATTGCCCAGCCTTCTCCCAGAGAGCAGTTGGTGAGTTCAAACCTTGCACCTTTGGGTTGTCAGTGCAATGCCTCACCCCTTAGCCACCAGAGTGCCTTTACGAGGTCTCAGGGCATCTGAATTGGTTCAGTAGCAGAGGATTTGTTTTACTTTGCACCTAGCAATGCCATTTTGTGATTGCAAGTGAAAAATAATTTTTTATTTTTTTTATTATTATTAATTTCAATGAACATCTACAGAGATTTTGGAATTCCATTCATTCATTGTTGCACTTTTCTCCCCACCCCCACCCCCAGTTCACTCCTCTCCTTGAAAAGCAAAAGACAAACTCCTTCATTGTTTGAAAAATAATTTTTTAAAGACACCCAAATCCAACAAAAGATGCAGAAGGAAAATGGACACACAGTTATGCGAGGGCAGCTCGTGTAAAGGAGCACAGCTAATTGTCCAGGTCTGCTTGGCAGGACCTCGAAGCTTGATAGAATTTACTGTTGTTGTTGAGAAACTGTTCCCTTGGACCAAAGGGGGAAACTTAAACCAGTCTGCTTCAGTCAGTGACTGGATACAGACTTTATTTTGTTTTTTGGAAAGTGTGAATATTTTTCTAGTCTTTTGGAGGTGATTTATTAATTTAAGCCAATACAAAACCTGATGTTTATTAATTAGTCCAAGTCGATAGAGATTTATTGTAATAAAAATGTTATGTTTGGCTTTTCATTGATCCGAAATGGAACCATCTTTGCATTATAATTGAAAAAAAAAAAGAAAACATACCTCTGTTTCTCTATTTTTCACAAAATGTGTCTTTTAATCCCATTTCCTGCCCAGATTTTGCTTTTATGCCAATATAAATGTGCAGGGAATTTTTTTTAAAAGAACTGAATTATTTCTTTACTATTTCTTCCTAAATAAACTTAACGTCTATGGACCAATGAGCATAAATTTAATTTTCAACAGTTGACTCAACATAGGCATTGGAAAGGTTACTTCTTCAGAGAAATATGTTTAATAATCCTTAGACAATAAAATTAATTATTGTGTCTTCTATATTGAATAAATGGCCTGTAACCTTAATCAGTAATAACTATAATTCTTCTCTAATAATTATCAAAGCAATGAAAATATGGACAGAATTATAAAGTAGACATGAAAGCACAATATTAAAAACAAAAATTACCTCCATCAGCCACCAAGTGCAGGCATTTTAAGAGCAATGTACCATACTTAATGCACAGAATTTTGTAACAATTAAGGAAAAAAGACATTTGCATGAAAGCATGGTAGAGTAGCAAATAGCTGAGGATACGAATACTACCTTCCACGTGCCAAGTACTTGAAACTTTAAAAGATATGTCATGGATACTGATTTAAATTTTGTATGCCATGGATGTTGTTGTTGTTGTTGTTGTTGTTGTTGTTGTTATGTGCCGTCGAGTCATTTGCGACTCATAGCGATCCTATGTACAACAGCCCTAAACCCTGCTCTATCCTGTGCCAATCGCACCGTCTCCGACACACCCATCCCGATTACCCCAGTCACTGAATCAAT